CCCTATCCCTTCAGTTAGGAATATCCTTGTAGAGTTTGGGTTGTGGCTCAGAGGTAGAGAGCATTTTCCAAACATGCTCAAAGCCCTGGGTCCAACCCCCAGAACTGAAATAAATAAATGAATGAATACACGGGCCAACATTGCATAGTCACAGTGGAGAGAATTCACACCCATGCCACACTGTGATCATAGCTGTATTTCATCCGGAGGAACCACACCAGCAGTTCCAGGCTGAGTCTAGCTACCGAGTGAGTGGCCCCAAGATGGAATGGAGCAGAGGGTCAAGCAGAAGACTTGGGGGCGGGAACGGGACATAACTTGCCTCCTGCTCAAGTTCCTCAAGTACTAAAGAGAAGAGACCCTTAAGGTGGAGGAAAATGCTGACCCCAGATTTCATATACATTATCTTTTTTTTCCTTTTTTTGGTACCGGAGATCGAACTCAGAACCTTGCTCTTTTCTTTCTTGGTTTTTGTTTTTGGTACCGGGGATCGAACTTGGAACCTTGTGCTTTCGAGGCAGGCTGCAGAACCACTGAGCTAAATCCCCTACATTATCTTTTTTATTTTTATTTTTTCAGGCCTGGGGATTGAGCCTAAGGAGCAGTGAGACACATCTTTTTGAGGCATCCAGGCTGCCTTCCCACTTGCAGTCTTCCTGCTAAGTCCCACAAGTAGCTGGGATTATATCTGTGTGCTACTGCATCCAGGCATGTGAGCTCATTTAACACTTACAAAACCTCCAAGAGAAGATGTTATTCCCATTTTATAAATAGAAAAGCTGTAGTTTAAAGAATGTAACTCTCAGCCAGGTGTTGTGGCACATACCTGTAATCCCAGCACTCAGGAAACTGAGGCAGAAGGATTGTGAGTTCAAGATCAACCTGGATTACTTAGGGAGACTCTGTCTCAAAAAACAAAGAAACAAACAAAAAGAACCTAAGTAAGTGTTCATTGCAAGATTGGAACCCAGGTCTGTAGGCTGACTTGGTTGTAATGTCTTCTATTTTTGGCTGTAAAAATGGACACTAGCAGTCGTGACAGTTCACTGCCTGCCCATACACTGGGACATTCGTTATTCACTATTCTGTAGAACTTTGTACTACTTAATGCTTTCAAGCCCACATTGCTTTTTGCTTTTTCTGGTACTGGGGATCGAACTTGGGACCTTGTGCTTTCGAGGCAGGCACTGGAACCACTGAGCTAAATCCCAGGCCCCATATTGCTTTTGTATTCCACAGAAACGATAAAGATATAAAAAACAAAAATTAAAGTCAGTGGTTCATGGAAAACATAGTGAAACACCTGTATTTAGGAAATAGTGGCTTTGACCATCCAGAGGACATAGGAAGACAGAGTATAAAGAGCGTAGGATGCCAGGCATGGTGGCACACACCTGCAGTCCCAGCTACTCATAAAGCTCAGGCTGGAGGACCACTTGTGTCGGGGAGTTTGAGAACGATCTGGACAACACGGTAAGACCCCAACCTCAAAAAGAAAATGAATTGGATGGAAATTTAGGTCCCATTCCTAATTCTGCTCCTCATGAACCATTTTGACCTTGGACAAGTCACTTGTGAATTTCGGTTTTCTCATTTTTTGTTTTCTCTGAGCCTTTTTTCATTCTGAAAAATATTTCTACTTGGTAGACTTGTGAGAGTCAAATAAGATGATAATAACTACTTCTTTAGCTGTAGAATGCAACCAGGACCTTAATTAAGATAAGCAGGGCCAGGGATTTAGCTCAGCGGTTTTGCAGCCTGCTGGGCAAGCGCAAGGACCCGAGTTCGATCCCTGGTACCAAAAAAAAAAAAAGATAAGCAATAGCCACCAGACCTGCTGAAGCTCCCCTTTCTTTGCAAGAAAGAGGACCCTTTGGCTACTGCCTGGGCACAGTGCCTGTGGAAGCAGAAGTCAGGGCCTTTATTGGTGGGAGTTTTTTTTGGGGGGGGGTACCGGGGATCAAACTTGGGTCGTAGCGCTTGCGAGGCAGGTGGCAGAACCACTGAGCTAAATTATTGGTGTTAAATAGATGGGGATTGAGTCTGACAATTTATTTCCTACACTACACTGTCTTTCTCTCTATCTACATATCTGCACGTCAGGAATAGTCTTTCCCCCATATCATTTTTTTCCTTTGATGGAAACTTCCAGACTTACTCAGGGGGAGAAAGGATGGAGGAGGACAATGGCCTACATTTCTTCAGCATTTCAATCAACAACCTCATTTTCTTCTAACAGTTGAAGTGAACTTCTGATGAATAATGGATGGTTACCTGATGAATATGCATGCAGCCTATTATGCCTGTGAGCTTCAGTAAATAATGTATGAGCTGAAATCTTCCTCACCTTGTAACAGTACAAAACTAAATTTTAAAAAACCAACTATATTTACCCTTTGAGCTGGTGAGGTGATCTGTCAGAGCCAGTGACAGCAGCCCAGAAATACAATTTTATATCATTGCTAAAATTAAATAGAATAAAACACCATATATGCATTTCAAGGCATGGAGTTCTGTTAAAAAAAAATCAAGCATGCATAGCCATACTCCTTGTTATATATAAATTGATTGAAACTCTAGCTTTTCACCCTATGACACCTTGCATCCTTAACAGCACCCTGAAACCTTCTCCTCCATGGTCCAGACTCCTCTCAGGACTTCAATATGGCCACTTAACACTGATAACTGCTTCCTTGACTTTTGAAAATTGGCCTAGAAACTCATGGGGCTGCACTGCTTCCTTTCCTCTGCTCACAGCTGAGAGGATTCTTTTCCTGCTGACCAACCCAATGCCCCACTGCATCAACCTTCAACTGACATCCACCTGTCCTAGCCCTATCCCTTAGCAACCACAGTGGGTGCCTTTAACCTGGTAGGTAGAGAGAGGAGGGACAAGATTGTCTACAGAGGTATGGAAGGTGTTTGGAAAATATGCATGGGTCCTGGTAAAACTTGGTTGCTCTTTGACAAGTTTTAGAAGACTTGGAATGGGGTCAGTTCTCAAGACAGGTAAGACTAGGGCATATCTGCTTAGATTCCATGAGCTTTCTAGGTACAATGTCAAAAGACTCCTACTGTCTGCAGAGGATGTGCCTCCCATGCTGGGTGCTTGGAGGGCAGCAGGTGAAAGAGGAAACATAAGACCCACTGGAGAAAATCCCAAGAAACAGATAACTGGCCTAAAAATTACCTGTAACCCCAGCTATTCAAGAGGCAGGAGGACTGCAAACTGCAGGCCAGCCTGAGCAACTTAGTGAGATCCAGATCCTGTCTTAAAAATAAAAGAAAAGGTGGTGAGGAAGTGCAGGAGATGTGGTTCAGCTCTCCATGGATTCAATCCCTAGTACTGAAGAACAAAAACAGAGAAGACAACGGAAGATGAAGACGAAGAAGCACAGGGGTGTGGATGTGGGGTGGCTTATTGAAGGAGGTAAATCTTGAGTTTGCAGAGCACTAAGGAACCCACATTAATTAGAAAGAATAGAGGATCAAATGGCCAAACCTACTCCACCTGTCTTCTGCACAACTTTCCCTTTCACTCACCAGTTCCAGCCAGCTGCGGACTGTTTATGCCTCCATTCGTAGGCTGAAACCGTAACCACCCATTGGATGGTATTTGGAGATGGGACTTTGGGAAGTGGGGTGCTGAGGGTGGAGCCTTCAAGGGTGGGATCAGTGCCCTTATAAGAGGGAGCCTGAGTGCTTCCTGTCCCCTCCCACCGTGTGAGCTTGGCTGTCCACAAAGTAGAAGGGGGCCCCGGACAAGACCCCTCAGCCAACACCTTGCTAGTAGGCTTCCTAGCCTCTGGAACTGGCAGAAGTAAATTTCTTTGTTATAAGCTACTTGTCTATGGTATTTTTAAACAGCAGACTAAGTGGAAAAAAGACACAGCCACACTGATCCACTTTGGAACCCCAAGCTCTTCTGCCCTCACTACTCTGCTTTAGCTCTCTTTTTTTTTTTTTGGTACAGGGGATCGAACTTGGGTCCTTGCACTTTCGGGGCAGGTGGCGGAACCACTGAGCTAAATCCCGGCCCAAGGCCTCAGTACTCTGTATATGCTGCCCCTTCCATGGGCTCCTCATCCCACCTTTCTGATCTGCTCAGACAGGTTTGCCAGCCCTCAGTGTTTTCTCTCAGACTCACTTGTTGTCTTCATCACGGTGTGTAGTGGTATGTTCATGAGTTTATTTTTTGTTTAACGTCTGTTTACCAAGTCGACTATGATTCCAAGAGAGCAGTCTGGTTTTCACTAGACATTTAGCACCCAACTCAGTGTCTAGCATATAGTAGATAACACATAATTTGTTGAATAAATGAAAACTCAGAAGGCATGGGAAGGGTGTGGTGGCGCACGCCTGCGAAAGATCACCAGAATTCAGGGCCAGCTTGGACTACATAGTGAGTTTAAGGCCAACCTGAACTACACAGCAAGATCTTATCTCAAAAAATCATAAAAGTAATGTACATTTATTCCAAGAATAAAGAGAGAAGAATAAAGAGAGCCAGTACTAAGTACTGGTGCCCACTACTGGTGAGGATGTAGAACAACTAGAACTCATGTTACTGGTAATGACATAAATTGGTTTAGACAGTTTGAAAAACTATTTAGCAGCTGGGCCAGGGATTTAGCTCAGTGGTTCTGCTCCCTGCCTCGCAAGCGCAAGGTCTCGAGTTCAATCCCCAGTACGAAAAAACCAAAAATTCCAAAAAACTATCTAGCAGTACGTGCAAACACTAAACATGTACCCTAAACCTAAAAATTCCCACTTCTCTGTATTTGCCCAAGAGATAAGTATGTGTATTCACACAAAAATTGCATGCATATATTGAAATGTTCCACTGTACCCAAAAATGTGTATAATTACTATGTGTGAATTAAAAATAAAATATTTTGGGAGAATGGGGGTGTGGTTCTCTAAGAACGCTTGCCTAGTATGCATGAGGCTCTGAGTTTGGTCCCCAGTACCACAAAACACACACACACGTGCGCGCGCCAAACAGCAAAATGTATACTTCATTGTATGTACCTTAAACCCCAACAAAAAATGAAAGAAACAAAACATAACATCCACTCTTCAAATATTTACACAATTCAGAAGTACATGGGCCAGGATTTAGCTCAGTGGTTCCGCCGCTTGCCTCAAAAGTGCAAGGTCTGGAGTTTGATCCCCGGTACCAAAAAAAAAAGAAGTACATTTACATTTACAATATAAATGAAAGATTTCCGTTTCCTAAAGAAAACTGTGGTTCCTGTTTTGATGTAGCTTCCCTGAGCTTCTCCAGTCACACCCCTTGTCTTCTTCAGACTAACCAGGTATCCATGTCACCCTGAACCTTTGCTCTAATTGTAGCACTAAACCAAATCAGAGTTCCTGTGACGAAGTCCAGTAGCAATTCTGTGCCCCTTCACATAAAGAGCAGTAGGACACAGGAAGATGAGTAAGACACACCAATGCACTCAAAGAATTTATAGTCCAGGGCCAGGGATTTAGCTCACTGGTTCCGGTGCCTGCCTTGAAAGCGCAAGGTCCCAAGTTCGATCTCCTGTACAAAAAAAAAAAAAGAATTTATAGTCCAGAGGGAGAGACCACAGAGAACAGACCAAACAGCAAGCCCATAAGCTCTAATACCACGCAAGTTTTAGGGGACAATTGTAATGAGTTCAAACTATTGGACAGGTAATGATAAACAACTGACTGTACAAAACTCACTCTTTTCAAGGGCTTTTTTTTTCTCACAAACTGAGCTTGGTGGCACATGGCTGTAATCTCACTGTGGGAGGCTGAGGCAGGAGGATCACGAGTTCAAGCCCAGCTTGGGAAATTTATGGAGAGCCTGTCTCAAAAACAGCATGGAGGGGGGGTGGCATGGTGGCATACTCCTGCAATCCAGCACCCTGAGGCCTCACCATCCTCCTGCATCCTGCTGTGTGTGCCACTGTGCCTGGATTTTTGTGTTTGTTTTCAGGCAGGGTCATGATAGGTTGCCCAAGCCGGCCCCAAATTGGGGGGCTCAAAATAATCCTGTTGCAGCCTTGCAAATGGAAATGGCTGGGGCCATAGGAGTGAATGTGCCCAGCTCTACCCTCCTTTTATTATTTTTTCATTTTTGTTGTTGTTCAGACAGGATCTCACTGTGTAGTTCACGCTGGGCTTGAACTCACTATGCGGTCCAGGTTGCTGAAATTTGCAGCAATACTCCTACCTCAGCCTCCCGTGTATCCTCCTTTTATAAGGAATGAAGTTAAATTACTTGCTCAGACTGCTAGTGGAAGAGCTGGCAGTAAAACCCGAGCATTCTGATTCCTAACCCATGGGTTACTTCAGGCAGTACTGCACTGCTGGCCAAGCAAATGGTGACGCCGGCTTCCAGAGCCAAGCGCCCATGAACAGTCTCTGGGTGTGGGCAAGCTCCATGGTGCCTTCAGAAAAGTGTGCAGGGTTGGTCTGCAGCTCCCTGGCCTGCTCCCCTCATTTCCTCACCTGCAAGGTGTCCTGGGGTGGGGTGGGGGGTGTTAAGCAACTTCCTCAAACCAAAGGTGGCACCGAGTGGGTGGGAGCAAGAGAGGGACCACTAGAGCAAGTGTGATGGCACTGGGCTTTAATTCTATTACTCAGGAGGCTGAGGCAGGAGGATCAACTACATACCAAGAACCTCTCCCCAAAAGAGGAGGGACACTAGGCTCCCAGCAGGCTGTTCTGATGTTGGAACCCCCATTCACAGGATTCACCCAACCTCCCTTCGCCCCAATTCTTTTCCTCTCATTCTTTCTGTTCCTTTGGTCTTTCAACTCCTTCCTCTTCCATTTCCCCACTACTTCTCCAACCTGCTTTCCTGCAGCCCCCAAATCTGCCTTAGCTCTTCCTACCTTCAAAGGCCACTAAGCCAGGCCTGGTGGCGCACACCTGTGATTCCAGCATTTGGGAGGCTGAGGCAGGAGGATCACAATGAGTTCTCTGTCAGCCTGGACTACACAGCGAGACCCGGTCTCAGAAAAAAACCAAAAAAACAAAAAACCCTTCTCGCCACCACGGCCCCCAAAGCAGAACACGGTCTCTGTGCCACTGAACTTTGTCCTTCTGTCCCCACTTCCCTTGTCTACTTGGACGAGAAGGCCAGGAAGCTGTCCTTAGGCAGCAGCCCACAGCCGACCCTGGCGCCAAGGCAGGAGGCGGGCGCGTTCAGGACCGCGGTCTGTTCCCCGGTTTGGAGCGGGGCACAACTGCGGGGCGCGGGCTGAGCGGGGTCTGAGTTCTCCCTCCTTTCCGCGACTGGGGTGCAGACCCGGACCTGAACTTGACTTTCGACGCTGAGAAGGGCAGTCGACCACCTGGAGGGGAGGCGGCAGCTGGGAGTCACTGCCGTCCCCGCCCCACGCTCGACCAAGGGAAGGCGGCACAGGGTCCCCAGTGCGGGCTCCCCAGCTCGTCCCGCGCCCCCTAAATGAAACACCGTCCAGCGGCCCGCGGACCCCGCACTCCCTTCCCGGGACAGAGTCTCAGGCCTGCGGGGCGGCCCGCCCGCCCGCCGAGGTCCCCTCCCCACCCCCAGCCCTCCCTGCCCTGCCCGCCGCCCCCGGCGGCTGGCGCGGGCGGTGCAGCTCGCCGCAAAGCTCTTTGCATAAATTATGCTCATGACGCAGCAGCTAAAAAAATCCAAGTAGCCAAAGGAGGGAAAAGGGGGAGGAAGAGGGGGTTGCGGGGGGAGAGAGGGAAACACACTCGGTACCTGCCCGCCCCCCCGCGGCTCCCACCCTCGGCCCGCAGACCCAGAGCCCCTGCGGCGCGGCCCAGCCCGTGAGCCCGGGGTGAGCCCGGGGTGGCGGCAGTCCCGACCGGCCACGGGCCGAGCCGAGCCTCGCTGGCTCCTTTGTCTGCGGGCGGCGGCCGCCCCGGCCCCGGCCCCCTGGCCCGGGCTGTGCAATGAAGCCCTGATCGCCGGTCGCCGGGCACTGGGACGCAGGCTCGGGCTCCGGTGAGTCGCGGGGTCCGGGGCGGGGAGGGGTTTGCACGGAGGGGGAGGGGGCCGGGCAGGGGAGGTTTCGGGTTTGGTTAATATGCAATGCCCGTAATTAGCATAATTTATATATTTATGATAAAGAGAAAAAGGCGCGGGCCGGCGGCGGGCGCTCGGGAGCGGGGCGTGCGCGGTTCCCACCTGGGGCCGCGGACCCGGGCCGCGCCCTTGCCCGCACGCCCCGCTCCAGCCCGGCTTGGACCAAGGGGAGGCGCGGCCGCTAGGTGGACCCGGACCGGGCCCGACACCCGGGCCCGACCCCTCGCGGCTTCTACCCTCGAAGCCCAGGCGGAGAACGGAGCACCGAGACGCTGTGCACCCTTAGCGGCCGGAGGCCGGTTCCGCCCCGCAGGGGACCCCGGACGCCTGGGTTCCCGGCGGTCAGGGCCAACCGAGGCTGCCAGAGCGACCTGCACAGGTCTCGCAGATGAACCTACTTTGAGAGGACGGACGGGTGGGATCTGGGGTGGGACCCGGGGTTAGAGCCTCGGCTGTTGCTGGAGGGGTGGGGGAGTGATGGGAGGGTCGCGTGGAGCACAGGAGCGCTTCATAAATATTTAATCATGATATTATTATTAATAACAGAGTAATAGGACCAGAATATGTTCCCTGGGCTTTCGCACCTAGCAAGGCCAAGGGAGTCCCAGGGGGGCTTCTAGCGTCTGCTTTAGCCTGAAGATCCCGACTGGGCTGTCTAACCGTGGCACAGAACAGCGGTTGCTGGACAGGGGGACATAAAAGCAGTCAGGCAGCCTTCCTGGGCCAAACATGGGAAGCTCTTCCCAGAGTGTAGCCTCCTCTGCTCCTCCAGAGTCCTTGTTCCCAAAGTAGAGGCTCCTCTTCAGTTCAATGCATACTTGGGTAATCAAGGCAGCCAGCGCCGACAGGCAGAGGCCCACAGAGGAATGATTCCAAGAATTTCATTTTGAGTCAAGTCCTGGTGCCCAGGGTGATATTACCGTGACCTGGGACTTCTTTGCATTCCTGGTGTAGAATTTGATTCATTCCTTCATTGGTTTGAGGAAAGTAGCCACCCAGTCCATACTCTGAACAATCCAGGTAAAGCTTTTCTCCCCTGTCCTGCAGCTTTCTTTCCGGGGTGGCCAAGCAGACCATAAACATGAACACAAATAAGATGATGATGATGATGAGAGAGAGGGAGAGGGAGAGGGGCTATTTATTTTTTTCTTGGAGGTACTGTGTGGCAATTTAGAAAAGGGAAGCTGGGAACGTGGCTCAGTGGTAGAGGTAGGAGGCAGGTCCTAGGTTCAATCCCAGGCACCACAAAGAAAGAAAAAAGAAATTTGAGCCAGGTGCAGTGGTGCACAGCTGTAATCCCATAACATGGAAGACTGAGGCAGGAGGATTGCAAATCCAAGTGCTGCCCCCTAAATTTCAGGAGACAATGTCTCAAAATAATAAGGGCCAGGGCTGGGAATTTAGCTCAGTGGTTTCGCCACCTGCCTTGCAAGCACAAGGTCCAAGTTTGATCCCTGGTACCAAAAAAAGAAAGGAAAAGGGCTGGGGACATAGTGTGGTACAAAGGAACCAGTGCCAGGAAGAAAGGAAGGAAAAGAAGGGAGGGAGGGAAGTAGGAAGTACTCTTCCAAAGAGTCTCTGCTTTGTTTAATCTTTTACAGTTTTAAGCTTATAATTTAAAACTTTTTTTTGATGACAAGGTCTCACTATCTAGTCCAGGCTGGCCTTGAAGTCACAGCGGTCCTCCTGCTTCAGCCTCCTGAGTGCTGGGATTACAAGTGTGTTCTACCATGCATGCCTGGCCAAAAGACACACACACACACAGACACACACACACACACACACACACATCTAATTTCAGTTAAAAATACTAGCAATATAATAACACTTATATAATGTTTGATGTATGCTAAACCTTATTGAGTACCTTACCTAAAAGTTACCAGTGTAATCCTCACAGCTTCTGTAATTTAGCTTCACTTTACAGAAACAGGCTTAAAGGGTTGCCTGTAGTAGAAGCACTATTCAGAATCTTCCACCCTCATACCCATGCTTAGTCAGCATGGTAGCACATACCCATAGTCCCAGCATTGGAACACTGGGGCAGGAGTATTGCTTGATCCCAGGAGTTCAAGGCCAGCCTAAGCAACATAGTGAGACTCTGTTTTAAATAATAGCCAGGAGCAGTGGTGCACACCTATAATTCCAGCTACTGGGGACCCTGAGGCAAGAGGATTGCAAATTCGAGGCCAATCTCGGTAACATGTCTAGACCCTGTTTTAAAATAAAAAAAAGGGGGCCGGGGATTTAGCTCAGTGGTTCCACCGCCTGCCTCAGAGTGCCAGGTCCTGAGTTCGATCCCCAGTACCAAAAAAAAAAATTTTAAAAGGGCCAGGGATGTAGCTCAGTGGCGTTGCTCCTGCCTGGCAAGTGCAGGGTCCTGAATTCAATCCCTGGTATGGAAAATAAATAAATAAATAAATAATTTTTAAAAGGGTGAGGATATAATTCAGTAGTAGAGCACCCTGGGTTTGATTTCCGGTACCGAGACAGGTAGGTAGGTAGATAGATAGACAGACAGACAGACACAGACAGGCTAAGGATGTGTCTTAATGGTAGAGGACTTGCCCAGCATCTACAGGTCCCTGGGTTCAATCCTCAGCATAACAAAACAAATAAATAGAATTACTATTTCATGGCCTCCCTTTACCCTTCCTGGGATGAATCTAACTCAAGCCCACTGAGAAACTTAAAGTTTAGAAGAAACTAAATTTACATCTGCCTTTATTAAACTAGTCATTGCTGGAGCCAGGCATGGGTGGTGCACAGCTGTAAACTCAGCACTCAGGAGGCTGAGGCAAATGAGGAGGACAGTGTGCTAAGCAGCTCACTTAATCCACTCCTAGGATCATGACCACCTGCTCAAAGCTTGCCGGTTTAATTCATTATGATTCCATCTTACTTGTCAGCATGGTTGTCATCAATAATACAAAAATCAGTAAGTACTGGTGGAGGTTGGGGCTAATTCCTGTTTTTAAAGATAAAGAGATTAAGGGTCACCTGGGGATTTAGCTCAGTGGTTCCGCTGCCACCTTCCTCGAAAGCGGAAGGACTGGAGTTCGATCCCCGGTACCAAAAAAAAGATTAAGGTTCAGAGAGGCTAAATAAGTCACCCAAGATCACACTGCTGTTTCATGGCCAAACTAGAATTTAAACCTGGGTTTTCCTTGAAAACTGATATTCTCATCTATCTTTCTTTTTTTCTTCTGTTTGAGAAAGGTCTTGCTATGTAGTTCAGTAGTTTGGCCTTGAACTCACGGCCATCCTCCTGCCTCAGGCTCCTGAGTGCTAAAATTACAAGCATGCACCACTATGCCTGCTCCTCCCCACCATCGAATGTGGGATGTTGCACTTGGGAGGCAGGTGCAGCGACACTGAGCTAAATCCCCAGCCCCTGTGTTTCTTTGACTGGCACGAGATGGGGATAGTGTTCATTGATATTGGTCTTTCTGTTTGTTTGTTTGTTTTGCTTCTGGTTCAGACTAGCCTTGAACTCATTATGTAGCCCAGGCTGGCCAGGAACTTGTGGCAGTCCTGCCTCAGCTTTGACAACACAGCTGTTGAGTTGATATTATTCTTTTTTTTGGTACCAGGGATCGAACTCGAGACCTTGCGCTTGCGAGGCAGGTGGTGGAACCACTGAGCTAAATCCCTGGCCCAAGCTGATATTGTTCTTGGTATCTAGCAGAATAATTTCAAAGTAAGCTATAGGATTTTTCAGTGAGGAAACAGAAATAGGATTGGGGATATAGCTCAGTGGTAGAGTGCTTGCCTAGCATGCTCTAGTCCAAGGGTTAAGGCCATGGGTTCTGTCCTTAGCCTGCAAACACACACAAAAGGAAATAAAGAACAGAGAAGTAAACTATCCACCCATAGACAGTCACACAGTTGGTCAAACTCTAGTGTTTGTTTAATCACTGAGTTCTATGGCTTCATGGGACTGATGTCAGAACTGAATGATAGCCAAGTGTGGTGGCGCATGCCTTTAATCCCAGCACTCAGGAGGCTGAGGCAGGAGGGTTGCCAGGAGTTCAAAGCCAGCCTAAGCTACATAACAAAGCCATGTGTAAAAAAAAATTAAATTAAAAAAAGGATTGAATAATGATATAATAGCATTTATTGAACTCTTATACAATCACTCTACACTTATACAATCACTGTACTATACTATCTCCATTTCAAATATGATAATTAAGACATAGAAAGTGGGCCCTTGTTCAAGACTTACAGCTAAGCAGTGGTGAACCTGAGAAGTGAACCTGAATTTGTAGCTCTTATGCTAAAGTGAAATATGTAATTGAGATAATGTATGTAAATTATTATACCTGCCACTTTCTGAGCACTTAGTATGTGCCAAGCATTGATGTGAACTTTGTACATGCATTAATTTATTCAGCCCTAGCCAGGTTTGGCGGTGCATGCTTGTAATCCCAGCACTCTGGAGGCTGAGGCAGGAGGATCCACAGACTTCGAGGCGAGTCTAGGCTACATAGTGAGTTCAAGGCCAGCCTAGACTACATAGTGAGACCGTGTCTCAAAAAAATACAAAATATTATTCAGTTCTCACAATACCCCTAAGAAGTATGTGTTCTTATTTTTACATGAGAAAACTGAGATGTGGACATTAAATCATTTGTCCAAAACCCTGTACCTGGTAAATATCAAAGCTAAGATTACTTGGAAGGCTGAGGTAGGAGGATCAAAAGTTTGAGACCAGTGTGCTCAGTTTAGTGAGACCCTGTCTCAAAATAAAAATTAAAAAAGGCTGGACGGGGAGGTCAGTGGTGCTGCTGCCTGCCTTGAAAGCGCAAGGTCCCGAGTTCTATCCCCGGTACAAAAAAAAAAATTTAAAAAGGCTGGAGAACTGGGGATGTAGCTCAGTGTCATCGTGCCTGCCTCACAAGGGCAAGGTCCTGAGA